TTGTCGCTCCTTATATAATGACATACTGTCAGACCTAAATTCTTGCATATATAGGTAACAAATACTAAGTGTCTCGTCGAACGGTATTAAACGGTTATATCTCTGAAGAACTCGTTTACCTGTTTCCGTGGATATGGAGAGTCCGGATCGAGTGTGGATTGTGTGTAATTACTATGACGGTGGACGTAACAAGAAAGTTTCTTCCAATGATTAACTAGTAAATTATAATACACTTGTAAAATTCAGTCCTCGTGTCCAGAATTATACGCGTACCGTAGTGGTAGAGGTTTGTTCCCAATACCGGTCTTGCTATGGTTACTACGACCCTTCCGTGTACACAGTCCCCCTTTGTTTTGACATAACTTTCTTCTCAAAGAAACCTACAAAACACATAAAAGAAGTGCTGTGTGTCGAACTGCGCAACGGACGGTTCACCAATCTCTATTACTGTCGATGCAGGACTCAAACCCTAAACAACGTACAGTTTTAGGCATAAAATTGACCCCTCGCGCTCACCATGATCCTTCAATAGGCGCGTTCACACCCGAGTACTTTTCCCCGTACTTTTCCCGTTTAGTTCCGTTAGTACTTAGTGCCGGGAACCTTTACCCCCAATTTTTAGTGCCTGCTAGAGGTGGTACCAAAAAAGTACCAATTTCTATTGGCTGGGCGAATTGCAAACCACGCCCCGTAAAACTCTGAAAAGTTTTTTGAAGCCGCCATTGTATTTGCTATCATTAGCATTAGAGAGAGAATAACTTATGGCAACACAAAAAAAAACATGGGAGCGGTGGAGTGATACGCCGTGAAGTTGTTTGCGGCCTGCCTGTAAACCCAAAGCAGAAGAAGACGAAGTGACGTCAGCGGCTCATTTGCATAATCTTCCCTCAGGGAAAAGTACTCCGGTGTGAACGCGATTGGTACTTAGTGTCCTGGGGTACTAAGTGCCGGGGCACTAAGTACGGCAAAGTACTTGATGTGAAAGCGGCTAATCTCATTCTTTCTGTAATCTGCTTTGGGTAAGAGCATCATCTGATCATGTCAGTTTCAATTTAAGTGTCATTAACTACACATCAATACTCTGTGTGCTGTATACAGTGCATTATTGGTGTAGATAGGAATATTCAATAATCTCAGTGTCCAATTTCTCTAACTGTATCAACAAATAAACAGCATTGTTTACCCATAACTGTTCAGTGGTACCGCAGCCTGTGAGTGTGTTTGGGGTTTGTTTCAGATGTGTTTTGGAACAACAGAGCAGAAGGATACTCAAATATTTTTTGACGATGGAGGGAGTCAGTCCCCATGGAACTTGTCGTGGACGAATTAGACCGAAGCTCAGAGGAATGCATGTCGCTGCCCTCATCCTCAACCCCTGTCCCCTCCACACACACTCCCTCCTCCTCTCTTTTTTCCTTTAATTGGGCCCGTTTCCTGGCACCTCTCCAGATCACACTGTCACTTTACACTGCGTAATAAGCTATTAGCCCCGGCTGGACCGGGTTAGACCACCACCCCACGCTAATCGACATGGACATGGTCATTGTGTGGGACTGGGACTCAGGACAGCACAGTCCGGCTTTTGTTTTTGCCCGGACCTCAGAGCCCTGGACGCCCACACCCTGGCTAGCAGAAGCATGAGGGGTGAGGAGGGTGGGAGGTAAACAGAAGGGGAGATCAAGGCGAGGCGAACTCGCTCCCGGTGCCCCCTAGGACACAACAAAACAAACTGTAACACCTTTGGTTCAGTCATCTTGCTTTGGCAAAAATATGACTTTCTGCCGCGTCCCAAAACAATGGAGCACCTGTTAGAAAATGAACCCACCGCCCCCCACATCAGCAGGAACTACAGTAAAAACTAACAAAGCAAGTCACCTTTAATATATTTGATCCACCACATTTACAAATATTTGTCAAGAGTTGAAATGTTAATGAACTCCTCAAAAGCTTTAAAGAGCAAAACGTTGTAGCAAATATAGTATTTTCAATACATTCTGCTCACATGAAACCGCATTTTTCAGGTACTTTACTTTACTACTTTCAATAAGAAGACTCTTTATACAACAGTTGCTCAATTTAGTGAAACATTTAAATGTACACATGCAAAAAGGGCCTTTTAGCAAGTGTATTTGACCAGGTACCAAAGCCAATAAACCAAGTTTATTGATGTATTTATAAGGCCTTTAAACAATCTTACTTTTAGATTAAATAGTCATGAAGCAAACAAGTTTCTCCCACTTCACTACTTGACAGAAATATAAACTTATGTTTTCTTCACTTGGCTTTCTCTGATGCTTTAACTTAATGACCTGTTTTTCTCTTTTTATCGTCACAAATGTAGACAAATATCTTGCCAACCTGGGAAGGTTGACATGCATGACCAGGGAAGTTTCTGCATTATTTTCACATAATAATTTGTGCATGACCAACACCTGCAATGGTACCTCCTCTTGCAGACCTTTTAATGAAAATGTTTTTAATATGAGTGCAGTTTGCTCAGCGCAATGGGATAGGGGAGGGAACCTTCCTAAACCATGTTACATCTCTTGAACAAGTCCTGACACCTCCGGGCAGAAAATGAAGGGGTTAGACGAGGCCTTGGCGCTGCAGCCTGTCTGAGGAGCTAATACTTGCACACAGGCTTGGCAGGGAGGGGGACACAGCCGTATTTCATGTTGGGGATGTACAGTCTTCACGCACATCTCTTAGTGTCAATCTTTTTTGTCACCAGGAGTAGATTCTGAACTTCTTCTCCTGAATGATTGATATGCAGGGGGATAAATCAAGTGTAAGGAAGTCTGTTGATAGGAACGATGGTTAATTACTCTGCTGGAAACCCAAATAGTGAAGTATTTTTTTAGGGTTTTGTGTTTCGGATATCAAAGATGTCAGTGTGTTCATGTGTGTTCAGAGGAATGCTGAGGGCAGGCTGGGACAGAGCTGTGAACAGGTGCATGATGGGGAGTGGATCGGAGTGTGTGTGTATGTGTGTGTGTGTGTGTGTGTGTGTGTGTGTGTGTGTGTGTGTGTGTGTGTGTGTGTGTGAATTTTGAAATTGTTAGGAGGTCTTTACTTCTACAACTTGAACAAGACATTGAAGTTTTCCAAACAAACAAGTGTTGTTCATACATATGAAACAAAACTTTCAGATTATTTTACTAACTGTCTTACTTTAACATCTATCTATCTATCTAAACCCCCCTTTTCCCCTTACACACAAACCCTCCCACCCTCTAATCCAGCCCCCTCTGAGCTCAGGGTCCTGGGTAAAGGTTCATCCAGAGGGCGGAATCAGCCTCCATGGCAAAGCAAGAACTGAGGAGGTGGGAGCGTAAAGGGGGAGCATTCAGTATGGTGGGGAGGGTGAGGGGATGTGCATGTGCTAGGGTGCATAGAAGGGTTGGGGAGGGGTGCTCAGAATGAGAGAGAGCATAATTCCTGGAGCACGATGGCGGGGTTATATAGGGTGTGTGTGTCGGGGGTTCAGTGATTCTGATGTTCCTCACCCATATTTTTCTGGGTTCACTGCTCCGAGCTGCTGCCCAGCACAGACTCTGGAGGGAAAGATGACAACGAGGAAGAATGCAGCTGTCTGAAGCAACACAAACTATTTTAATGTGTCTAAGTGACACGACCCCCTGACCTAATGGGATAAATACAATATTTAAATATTACACGCAGCATTCATATGAATTTAAGTGAGTCTTCAAGTCTCTTTTAAAACCTAAAAAGCCCTCCCAGCGTACTTACTTGGCCGTACCAGGATAGAAGTAAAGCCTTTGGTTTTGCATGTTTAATCCTATAAATTGCATAATAGTTTATTACAAATAACAGTTTTTTGGGATATTCTGTGTGACCATTCTCTTCCATTTCTATTCTAAAGGTTTAATAATCATCATGACACACACATGACTTCTGGTTTTCCATCAGCAAAAGTTGTGGAAATTACCATGTATTTATTTTGGTACCACCTGAGTCAAGGTTTCAAGGCAAGCTGAAGGTAGAACGGGAGTGGCAGCCGCAGCAGTGTGTGTGTGTGTGTGTGTGTGTGTGTGTGTGTGTGTGTGAAGGGGGGAAGATCTGGAAAGCCCCCAATGCAGGTGCAATCCAGGGCCATCCGCGACGCTCCGTCAGCTTTGCGCCGGGCCAGCAAGGAGTTCAGACAGGGGGTGGAGGGTGAGATCTTCTCACCCCGCTGGCCTTCTTCTGCGAAGCGGAGCTGGTAATTTGGACAGAAAACTGGATTTGTGCCCAGCAGAGCCTGGGCAGCGAGGCGATGAAGCAGCCTCACAGCGGGGGAGAGGGGCTGAACTCAGGATGACCAATATGTTTTCACTCATTCATTCGGCTTTTCCTCAGATTGCCTCCCTCCCCCCTCCTGTTCTCTCAATACTGATCCACTTTTTCTGTGATGATCAGCTTAGTCTGCCTCGACATCTCTGGATGGTCTATCGACTCCATTGTTAACATTGCATACCAGGGGAAATACAGTTTATTTCTGGCTTGGGTTTTAATTAATTTATAGAATAAATTAAAAAAAGATTACTTAAAGGTGTCCTATCATGCAAAATGCACGTTTGTACGTCTTTTATACATGAATACGTGTCCCCGGTGTGTCAGGGAACTCACCAAGTGTCAGAAAACACAACCCTCTCTCTTTTCCTCCATACCCAAATCTCTAAAAACGGGGCTGCAACGGATCTGATACAGACTGATACAGATTTGAAATATCTCTGACGTCAGGAACGGAGGGACCGCCGCCGTGTATTGTTCCAACTCGTCCAGCCTATNACAAATACCAGCCTGTCAGGACATCGAGTCCACAGTAAAAAGGACCGGAGCTAGCGTTCGTTCATGGGTGCGTTGTGCATCCACCTCCCTGCAGCACATACTCTCCACAGCTTTATCAGGAAACCGTATTACTTCTCTCTCCCCCCCCCCTTCTCCCCTGGGGCTGTACTGCTTCAGCCGTCTCCTTTGTGTTTGTTTGTTTCCCCCTGTCTGTGTTGTTTGTGTGGGCGTGGTGGCTGTCACTCCTGGCTCCCGGCTCAACCTCCACTCACCTGCTGCAATCAGCTGTGCACCCTCCCCGACTACACACCTGCTTTCCATCAAGCCATTTACAACGACATATCAACGGAGGCTCCACAACCTTTCTCCGCCAGATCGTCAAGTATCAGCCGTACTTCTTCTGTGTCTTCTGCTTCAAAACTAGCATTGGGATCCATGTTTATTAATACGTTACACCGGCCGCTCTCCCCCTTGTGTCCCCCGTGTTACGTCACACGCGGGAGGTCACGTGCCGAGGCTTTTTTATGCGGAAGTGAACATTTCTTACAAAAACAACGCCAGATGTCACTGTAGTGTATATTTCTGTATATTTTTTTGGGGGGGCGCGTGAAGCTTGGGAAGAAGTTCTAAAGAAACATTGTTTGCTCGTAAAATCTATAAAATTGACACATTAACACAACCGGCAGTTAAAAGAAAAGTTTTAACGTTTTTGCTTGCTCGCTCGCTCTTAGAGGAGCAGAATTACAAAGAAGCAAAATTGAAAATACTTAAGTACCTCAATATAAGTACAGTTCTTGAGTAAATCTACTTACTACCACCACTGCAGGTATGTGTGCTGCTAGCAGCCCATAATCCACACTAAACATACAATGAATCAATGTGAATTCTGTTTCTAAATTTGTTTAGTTTTCCCCCTAAAATAATAACAAAAATAACCAATACAAATACTGTTAAAGAACCGGATCGATAAGCAGTGTTTGTAATTGTTTCAATTAGGCCTCATTATTTCACAGTGGCACTGGGTCATCTGCCATTACAAGCACTTCTGTTCATTTTCAATCCATAATCAAATATAAAATTAGAGTAGGATCTTTTTGTCTTGTTATTATTTCGTATAAGGAACAGTTGGCTGAGGTACAAGCGTTCTCTCAGATCACTGCTCTGCCTGCCTACCTTTCTTGCAGATTTCTTGGAAGATGTGGGTCAGCTGAGTCTTGGTGATGCGACCGGTTCTCCTCACTGAGCTGTCCAGCTTGGCCAGAGCCCAGTCGAACTGCTCCGCCTGATCGAACCGCACCGGAATGCCGGGCTCATCCTTCTGCTCAGTGGCCACGGCATAGTTACGCACACACCCCGCTGTATAGGGCCACACGCGACTGAGGGGGAATAGAAAGAGAGAGAGGGGATGAATAACACTGGATAGACAGTGTTGGATGATACAGACAGATAAACATAATACCTTTATAGGTGAATGTGAGACAAAATATTTATCAGCATCTATCCTAAACAGGAATAGCACAGAATGGGTTGAATGCACAACTATGCTCATGTCCAATAAGCAGTAACACACATACATCTCTAGTTTCATTTAGAGCTATGACCTTGAGATAAATAAGCCCCAGCAGAGCAACACATGGTCGTAATCCCCCATCTTTAACATCAGCTAAGGCCAGTGTTTCTCTGGTACTTTATTATAAAACCCAAGATGACATATTTGACAATAGCATCAATTAAGCTGCAGCATCAACATGCCTTGCTGCTCTGCAATGATGGGCCTTTGTAAAAAAGCTAGGATTCACGCTTATGTCAAAAGTTAGTGCCTACATCATGATTACGAACCAATGTCATTGGGTTTATTATGAGGACAACTTGGCTGTATTATACAACCTCTGATCATCACCTTGTGTATAACGGGAGCCATGTTTCCCTATTTAACTATATGCGTAATAGGCCATTTATTCTGACATAATGCCACATATGTCAGCATAACACATTTAACACTAAAGCCAATAGCAGTGTGGATACTTGTGTGTCTCTGGCTGTCATTGAGCCTCACATGTGGGTCACAGCTAACGCTACACCGGCTAACACACACTGAGATACCTGGACGCGTTTCCCGAAACAGGGCTGATGTGTCGGGAACAAACTCCGGTCCCTCTGGCGCCGAGAGGCCCGCTGAACAGCAGGCGGAGGGGCGGCCCGGTTCTTTTGGTGCATGAGATCTGAAGCAAGCCCAAAGGCGAACACTTAAGTAACGGGGCTGATCTCAAGAGCGCAGCCATGTTTTCTGATGTCGCACAGTGGAAGGACATCCGCACCACGTGAGAGATTATAGAATAAAACCACGCGAGACTACCGGATGAGACTTTGTTTTTATAACCCCCGTGCCCTTCTCTTTATAAATCCATGGGGCCATGCAGTAATGGAGGATCTTTTACTTGGTTAAAATAAAAGCAGGGACACAGTTTATAAATACAAAAATACAAGTAAAAGTCTTGATTTCAAATGATTAATTATGATCCCATATTATATACATTTTACTTGTAGGCCTATGTTGTATTTTTATGAATTCAAATTTCACTGCATTGTAACTTGTATTCATGTATTTTATACCTGCTATACCTGCTAATCTATATCAGCTTGTTTTATGTTTATTTTATTCTCTCTTTTTATTGACTGTTTTTAAATGCCATTTTCATGTTTTTTATGTTGGCACTTTGAATTGCCTTGTGTTGAAAGTTGCTGTATAAATAAACTTGCCTTGCCTTTGCTGTATTTTATTTCTCTTCTATACGATTACTGTCAAATTACATTTGTTTATATGTACATGCAAGTGTTGATCGTTTTCATTATGCAGAATGGCCCATCTCAAAACAGTAGATATATCACAAAATGTAGTGGAGTAGAAGTACTTAAAGTAGCATGAAATGGAAAGTATCAAAACTTTACTGAAGTACTGTATTTGAGTTGTGTTTAATGTGCTTAACACTCTGTACCTCTGGCAGTAATACAATGTTGTAAACTTGTTTATGAGTGGTATATACAAGTCTAATGTAATTGTATGACAAAGCTAACATTGCAAAATAACCTTGTATGTGTCTGAGGATGTTAAGATAGCACACATGTTCATATTTTGTAAGCATTCAAAATCATTGTTGACCTTCAATACAGTACCTAAAAAAAGTAGACTTATTATATTATTGACAATATTAAACTATTATTTACATTGCTAAACTCATCCTAAATAATTCTATAACATGATATTAATAGCAGACCAGTAATACACTTTAAGTGGTTAAATATCACAGTAAAAAGGGTAATTTATTCAAACATTTTTATTACATCATGAACATTCACAAACATGTATTTATTAGAGAGAGAATTCCTTAGCTCAGTTCTTCAATTAACTTGCTATTCTTTTTTCTCTTTTCTTTCTTCAAGCTCTCCTCAACCACAGCCTTGGCCTGCTCCATGCTGTTCCTTACACTCTCTCTCTTACTGTGTTCGTTCCACAACTCAATAGCTAGTCTACGAATCCCATCGGCATTGTCCAACACCCAGGCTTGAAGGAACTCACACTTCTTGCTTGCCAGGAAGTACTTCTGTCTCTTCGCTCCTTCCTCTCCCTCTTTGGATAGGGCACTTCTAGCCTTGGAGAGCACCGCGCGCAGCTGACTGAAGGCTGAAAGGCCGTATCCTGTGGCATCCTTTCTGTCTCTGCCGGTCATGATGTGAGCCACAGCTTCCACCGCCCTGGTTGGGGCGAGAGGGTCTTCCTTATCAAGGTAACCTCCATCCAGAATCAGAGCTTCTCCACAGCTTAAGGCCTCTTGGACAGAGTTGAACACCCTGTTTGAGTTCAGTGCCTCAGACAGAGCAAGAATCATGTCACAGAACTCAAACATCAGAGAATCAGTGTCATTGTTAAACAGGCACAGGGTGAAGGAGTAGCCAAAAAGTGCATTGACCAAACCATAACATATCAGGGGAGATGGATTTGCACATAAGGAGCTCAACTTTGGGATTTTTGCAGAAACTTTAGGGACACTGGGATTGGTTGGCCTTCCCTTGCTTGTTTCCTCTCCCTTTGCTCTTTTCACTTGTCTTTTTGCAGCTGCTTTGCTCTGATTCTGAACCACTTCTTTGGATGTCTTGTCTTCTTCATCCACAGTTGTTGAATTGTCCCTCTCCAGTTTGCTCACTTCCTCCTCAAGCACCTCCACCAGTGCTTTCCCTCCGTCCTCATGCTCCTCCCACCACGGCTTCCACAGGGTAACCAGCCCACTAAGAGCTCCGCCTTTTATTAGATCCATGAACTTCTCTTTCTCTTCACTGTTGAGAACTTCCCACAGCTCCTCTTCTGAAAGTTTGTCAACATCCAGGCCTGAGAGTCGATCAGCCAAATCCACCTCGCCTTCTGCAGCTTCAGCACCTTCATCGATGTCACCTTGTAGCGCCTCTCCTCCTCCAATCTCTTCAAGTTTCCTCAAAATAGCCTCAATCTCTGTTTCACTCGCCTCTCCAGACTGTTGAAGCTCTGCTAACCTGGATAGGAGCTCCACAACCTGCACTTTCTCCTCTGCCTCTCCTTCTCCTTCCTCTGTGTCGTCTGACAGAATACCAGCATCCTTTAACACACTCTCCATCCCCCCGTCTGTGCGTTCAGCCTTTTGTCTCAGTCCCACGAGTATCTCCTGCATTTTAATCCTCCCTTCACTTTCTGTTTTCCCCATTTCCTTCAGCTCCTGCAGAACAGACTCCTTGTAAAACTTCTCAGAGCACACGGAGTGATCTGGGCTCTGGTAGCAAGCCAAGCCACAGTAATGCAGGTTACACCGAGGGCAGGTGTATGAAGAGGGCTTGCATTTACACAGCATGCAGACTGCAGTACTTCTGGTGTTACTACCATCCTCTTGGGTCTTGGCTGGAGAGAGAAACGCCTCTTCTCCAGAAGCAGGTCCTCTGGAGGGGAGCAGAACCCCATCTCTGGTCTCTGGGTCCGGCTCCACGTCAGTCCACTCCTCCTTTGGACCGATGTCTGTCAGAAGACTCCTCACAGAGGGAGGAAGTCTCCGTCTAATTACTGGATTCATTGCAGGTTGAAATGTTTGAAGCAAGATATTGTAGCAAAAGGAAAGGTGAGCTCTGCGGTTAACCTAAGAGTGGAAGAAATTAAAACGAGTTAGGTTGTAACACCACGTTTCTGTTAAGTTAGTGACGTTTTTGTAACGTAGCCTACGCTATAAACACAAACAGCGTGCTTTTATTTTAATGATGCGTCCCATACACAAACCAATTTAAAATGACGTCAATATGGCACACTTTCTTCGTCGTTTATTTCTTAAAGAACAAAATCGACTTACTTTCAAGCATTTGCGCCAACAACAACGTTCCACATTTGTTGTCCTAAACCGCGATGTCGCCTCATGATGACGTATCCTCGGCTTAAAGCAGCAGTCCCTTTTCTCCTTCGTGGTTCTGCTGCTACAAGTGTTGGTAATAATAAATGACAATAAAAGGATTAATAAGAATAATGAGGATACATATAATAGTAAAAATAACAAGTAATCCCGTGAATGATAATAATACTAATAATAAACTTTATATGCATTATAACTAAGAAATTAAATGAGGGGTTAACATGAAAATGGACATAAAATAACCATACAATCAGGGATAGAAAGGTCCTCAATTCGATAGTTAAATTTGTAGTAAGATAAAATAATAATGACTTTGATTTTTGGGAATGGCAGAAATAAACTGTGATCTTTTCAAATGATTCCTTACATAGGTGCACTAGCAATTGATAATTTTGAAACTCATTTTCATAAGCTGTGAATATATTGTATGTTTCAATTTATTTTTTCACAGTTAATCCAATATAGTTGTGTGACTTTTTATGAGATCTCTGTCAAATGTTTCGAAAAAGGTTGTGAAATGTTAAACAAACTCAAATGCATTAACACTTTGCAAGTGAAGACTTCACCTGTGCAGTTTGATGGGGAAGATGAAGTGGATCACAGAAGCCTAAGCATTAAGCTTAGCTAAGCAATCAAGGAAAAAGGGGTCTAAAATAAAAGATTTGATCACAAGAGTGTATGAATGTCGCAGTCGGACTATCCATCCCTCTATCAAACTCTGTGTGTGTCTCCCTGACGGTGCTGTGTGTCTACATCTCCCGTGGGGCTGTTTGCTATGAGGTGATTGTCTCCTGCAGGGGGTCAAGCATGGTAAAGGTCATGCAGGTGGGGAGTTGTCAGATGGCTGTCCACCCCTGACTGGGCCAAGGGGTTCCCGTGCCGCCTGTCAGAGCCTGTGGGGAGAGAGAGAGGAGGGGGGGGTCTGAGGTTGACGTGTGCCATGCTGTCTTGGCCCCGCCCCTGGCTGCCGTGCCAGCCGTCCTGGGTGGGCTGCTGCCTCCTCGTGTCTCATTTATTCTTCTCTAGCATGTCCTGTGACATGTTAGTACCCCCAACACTGAATCCACAAGCCTACTTCCTGACTCTTAGACTAATGATATGAAGTGAAGCTGAGTCTCATCCAGGTTAGGAAAGCTTTTTTTGGCCTCTTTGCTTGAGTCTAATGCAGATTTTGTATTTTTGCTTTTAGTTGACAGTGATGATCTTTGTCTCAACATGTCATGGGTAAAAGAGCCTATATATTGTACTTTCATAAAAATCATTGCATATATGAACCACTTAACAGTGAGAATATGAAACTCAAATCAATGATGAATATGAAATAAACAAGTGTAAGGCAAGTGACAGAAAAACACACACACACACACACACACACACACACACACACACACACACACACATACACATTCCACTGTGTGCCACCAGCTGATAGGTGACCGGGAACAGCCTCTGCCTTTTGGGCATGTCCAGCCCTGGCATGTCTGAAGCTGTCTACTGTACAACAGCAGGGTATGTGTGTGTGTGTGTGTGTGTGTGTGTGTGTGTGTGTGTGTGTGTGTGTGTGTGTGTGTGTGTGTGTGTGTGTGTGTGTGTGTGTGTGTGTGTGTGTGTGCAGTAAACCTCTGTTGATGTGGATTGTTCTGTCACTTGTCCACTCAAAAATATATGGCATTATAGGGATTGAGACAGGGAAGGGGTCCTACAGTATGTGTAAAGTGTGACATTAATAGATCAATAAAATATCAAAACTGATCAAAAAACATCCAGAAACACAGGGAGTAGAGTACATAACATCTCCCTTAGAGTAATAACAGAATATTCAGCATCATTTAGAATAAAGCAATACAATTGCATTCAGTGTACATACTGTATGTGTAAGTGAATTTCACTA